TCATATCTTAAAAATTAACCATGTAATAATAATAATTACGTATTAATAAAGATCATGAGACATGTCTCACCTTAACAATAAAAAAAAATGATTTATTTGATTGTCGATAATATAATTTTATTTGAATATTACTAAAACTAAAACTAAATCAGATAAACTATAAAATCTATAGATAGAAAATCAATTATTTTTTCAAAAAATCCTTAGATAGACTTGTGATTTTATCTTTTCAGCTCTTTAATTACTATAAATAATAAAGTATATATGATATTATTTATTATTATAGTAATTGTTATTGTTATGTTAATATATTTAGTGATAAATATAATAATTGATTTGATTGTTAATAATGTGATTTTGTTTTAATTGTTTACATTGATTATTGTATAGTATACTGATAGTATAAATTTGTTTTGAATTTTTGTAGTGTCTAATTAATTAAATTTGAATAGTAATTAATTGACAGAAGTAAACTGATTACAGTTTTTGATAAGAATTTTTAGTTTTTTGTGATACAGCAATATGTGCTAAGCAATGTTAAAAAGTAGGTATTGTATATATTACTAATGTTTCAAATTAATAACATAGACAATTTTAAAGTAAAGTTTGATTTTTTAAATAAAAAAGAAACTATCCAAGCAAAAAATTTGTTTATTTAATAAAAAGTATATATTAATAAGAAGTAAAAATAGAAAAAATCCAATTCATGTCATATTCAATCAATTGACAATTAATTTCTAAATTTAGTTAAGCTGCATAATGTGAACGTGAATTTTGGCGAGTCTGTCGCTTCTTGAACCAGCACTCGCGTAATGTTCAGGTAGGTAGGTTTCTTTAGTCGAGGCGTGTGATTTGACTTGGCTGGATTTTCTTTTAACTAATGTTCCTCTTGTCCCTTGCCCTTGTGCTTTTACTGATAATCTTTTGCCACCATTCCTTCGTGGCTCTTTAGATTATCCTCTTTCCAAGCTAGTGGTACTAAACGAGGTAAGTTTATTAATTGGAAATTTCCTTCTTTAGTGTCATCAATCACACTACTAATTTAGCAATTTTTAATTAGTTGTCTCACTATAGAGCGTGATACTTTTGGGTGTTCAGTTTTTTTTGTTTTATTTTTTAGATTCTTCTTTATCATAAGTACATTGTTCTTTTATATCCTAATGCTATGCTAGAATAGACTATCGCTAATGTCATGGATTTAAACTTTTTAAGCTTACTAATAAACTATCGTCTAAACTACTTCATTTTCAATATCACATTTCTGGGTTTTAGACACGCGATGCGCGAATCGCGTTATGCATCCATTTCTCATTATACCTTTCCCATTCACAATAGTAATAGTCTTATAACAGATAGTTATGGTAATATAAATAGGAGTAACAAAAGCGCAAAAAAAAAAAAGAAAAATTCGAACAATAATAACAATAACACTAACACTAACTTAATTTAGTAATAATAAATTATTCCTCTTAGTTTTTCAAATATTATAACTTTTCTATTTATAAAAGTATATAGATTCAAGTCATTGATTTATTTACGAGATAATACTTTAAAGATATTAATCATTTAAAAAATAATTTCAGAAGAATACCCATATACTGTATTTGATTACTATTGTTTTTTTTTAAAAAAAAATCAAATACAATAAATCTATCGGTATCGTCGAAGCAGGTTAAATCTTATTTATGCAAAACCTATCTGTGATTATGTAAAAATCTATACAATACATAAGGAAAATTCAAGCTTTGATTCCGTATTCTATAATTTGCGTACTTTTTAACGAAAGTTTTAATTGCTTTCCATCTTGCATGCATAAACACGGATTATATGTTGGTAACTATTAAAATCGTTTAGTTCTTTACCCATCGAATTTATCATATCGTCATACTCTTCAGGAGTCACATCTAAAATTGGCATCAGAGCGGATCCTAAGGTGCCGAATAAAATCTTGAAATTATCGATGACCTGTGATTTATGAATAAGTAATATGATTTTATGGTCGGAATAACTTGAACAAAAAGGTTGTTACCGCTCTTTCTAGCTTCCCAGTTTCAGGAGAGTAAAAAAATGCTTTTTTTACTTCATGGATATCATAGAATTGACCATTTTGTTCAACGAGCAATCGTAACTTAAGGAATGCATCATGATCAATGCCAATTTTTTCACAAAAACGTTCAACTAAAAATAATTGTGTTAATGTTTTCATTTGATAACATTTATGAAATATCAAACTTACAGGTGCTGCAAATTTTAGTAGTTACGGGGCCTAACTCATAGGGAAGACCAAATTCCGATATCTAGAATAGATGATAGTAATCAATAATACTATAAAATAGTTTGTTTTAAACGTGAACACAATTAATACCTCTAAGTAGCCACCAGGCTTTAGAACTCTGGTTAATTCTCTAATATGATCAGACCAAAAGTTTCGAGGAATTGAAAGGAACATTAGACGTTGAAATACAAAATCAAATGTATTGTCTTCAAATGGCAATCCCCTAAAAATGTCCACATTAATAAATGAGACATTCTTAGGCTTGATACTACAAGGTTGAATAGGGGCAATATCCACTCCGGTGATTTCCGCCTGTGGGTAGCTTGTTGCCATATCAAACGCCCAAGAACCTATACCGCAACTTTCATTAAAATAAAGTTTTTAATAACTAGATGCTTTCTACCGGAAAGGAAATCACACTATGAATATTATAATAATGATATTATACCCAACATCAAGCACTTTCGAGCCATCTCTATTTAAAATATGTTCCATAGGAGCAGAAAAATTACTCTTACAAATGTGTCGAATTACGAAATGCTGTAAATGTAATCTGTCTGATTCATCGTCATCGTTTGGAAGGGGGTAATTTAAGACTCCAATGTTATTATATCTTCTCCCATCAATATACTTAAAGTTTGTTTCTGATGTCTTTATCTGTGTCAAGACCATGCCGTTATTTTTTTTTTTCTGGAGACTATTGCCCATACTGACCTTGCAATAAAAGAAGTACAGTACCATGTGGACTTTCTTAAAGTACAGTATACAGTATGCGTCTCAGTTACAGATCGACAACTTACATAATTGGTACTGTACCATCAAGACATAAAAAACCTTGTAAAACTCGAAAATTGAGAAAAGCACGAATTATCTTATCTAAACCACGTACAGCATATGCAGTGTTTATTTTATATGTTGCTCACCAGTTTGATTCCAAAACGTTGCTAGGGCAAAAGTTTCTTATAAGCATCCAAATTAGAAGTTTTTGAATCATGTGTAAAAAAATATATCTTTATATAAAACGGATTGTACTGTATATTATAATAAGAATATATTGAATTTGATTGCAAAATTTGTCAAAACAATCATATTTTACCATATTTATAACTATGTTATTTTAACACATACATACAGTATTTAAGCAACTTTAGATATACAGTACATATCGCTGCTACTATCTTTAGAATGAATTATAAATTCGCGAGATCTTTCACAAGTTCTTCGATTAGACCAATATTTTCGTAGAAGCACTGCATTGTGTAAATCGGATAGACTATTGCAGAAGTTCCGCCGTTAATGCATGAATAACAAACTTATGTGAGCGGTCGATTGTTGACCTGTGCGTAATCCCTAATTATAGAAATTATTTACCGGTCAAACGATTGACCAGTTCTTGCATTTGTAATGTTTTGCACTTTTTTTTTTTTGTATTCCAAGAGTGTATTCGATATAATATAACTTTTTAAATAAATGTTTTTATGTAAACAATTTATAATTTTATGATTATTATTTCAAGATTTCAAGAGTTTGTTTTTTGTTAAAAATTATAAATAGTTTTTTTTTTCATAATCAAACAAGTATTTATTGTACTTATTTAATCTTTGAAATCAAAATTATAATAATATAAGATATTTTACATAAATTGTTTTAATACTTAAATACCTGTCATTGATTTTTTTTCCTAGGCTTAAACTTGGAAAGAAATAAAGTTGTTTATTTTTTTTCTATTCTTAGAAGAATTTGAGTTTATTATTCGCAGTTATTAATATAATTATAAATAGTTATTTGAATTATAAAATGTATTACAGTACAAAACAAAAATAAGTAAATAAATAATCAAATTAACAAAATTAATTTATTTTTATAGCTTTAATTATATTACAGTAAAATATCATGAAAGTATATTATCTATATAATTAAAAAATGTTTATTATTTTTTTATATTAATAATTAAGTACTTTTTAACTTATTATTATACAAACTAATTCTATTAAAACAGAATAAACAATAACAAATAATAATATTTTTTTGAAATAGAATAATATAAAAAATATTTGAAATTAAATAATTAATATATATATATATATATATATACAGTATATATATTATAATTAAACATTGTCACTTTATTAATTATAAAAAATTCAGATTTTCTACATGACAAAAGTAATAATATCTCTTATATAACATATTGAGTTAATAAGTTTAATGCTAGCTTGCCTACATTAACCTACTATGCAGTAAAGAAAAATAAATATTAAAACTACTAAATATCATAGAAGGTACTAAGCAGCTATAAATATATACTCAAAATTATTAATAATAAGTTGGTTAAGATTAGAGATTAAATTTTTTAAACATGATAACAAATTAAAGTTGCTATTTATAAATTTGTTTGTAATAATAAATGGAAGATCTATAGTTGTGTCTTTTGGTTTTGAGTTGAAATTTGAGGATTGACAAGAGTAACCTTGAGATTTGATAGAAGAGTTCTTGTGAAATTGGTGAGGATTCTAATTTCAGGTTATACCTATAAAGAGTAATGTGTTTGCTATACTGCATCTTAGTTTCCATATAAGATTATAGAAAAGGGTAAGTGCTTTTAAGGCTACTTTTATCTAATTATCAATATCAGTTATAACAAAGATCTTGCTAGTAACTTTGTAGGACAGTTTGACTACTTGTCAAATATAATTAACTGGAGTATTATTTTTGCTAAGACAGGATATATTATTTATAGTATTGATGATTTGGATTGTTTGCTCTTTTGCTTTAATACACTCGAATATATGTCTTATGTTTTCAATTCTAAGTTCACATTTTGAACAGAAGTGATCTGGATATTGTTCTAAAAATAGTTGATGAAAAAGGCTTAAATTGAAAGGATTTCTAAAAAGAGCTTGATTCTAAAGGATATTAAATTACTATAAAAATTGTTTTTTTGATTTCTGAGACATTTAGAAGATTAGATAGATACTTCAAGATTGTGAAAGCTAAAAATTTCTTCAAAGGTTTCTATTATTGATATGCCTTTATATATTATATAGATTTTGATTAACCTTAGAATTCTTTTTGACCATATGATGCTGCTATCCAGATTGCTGTTATTTATTCTTGAATTTTTGAAAAAGTGGAGTAATGGGATATTCCAGTATATAATATTGTCAATTTTGGGTTTTGATTTGGATTTAGTAAATTGGAAGGTGATCAACTTTTGAAAACTTATGATGTTAATTTTTGAAATAATGGAAAAGTGATTATATTTGACTATTTTTCTTAAGTTATCTGGAATTTCAAATAATTTTTATATTTCTCTAATTTTAATAGTTATTAAGTTTTGGTATCATTAAATAATGTCTTAAATAGTTAAGAGAATATAAAATATTGGAGTGCTGGAATAAGAGAATATAATAAGATAGTTGTTAATTATAATATTATTTTTGTGAACTTGAATTGTGTAGAGACATGATCGATTCAGTTTTACTAGTAGAGATAGTGCTGATAAATTAAGTTGAAGATATATATATTGAAATAGTTTTTCTCAAGCTTCAAAGTTATTTAGAACTTTTTTTAGTAAATTATTAAAACAGAATCAAGTAAACATACTCTTTTCTACTCACACACAATTACCATATTAGAAAACACAACAATAAGAAAGAGACATGAGTTCAAACAGAACTCTCAGAGGCATCTTGACCTCAACCAGGTCCAATTACAACCTGAATGAGCTCACCAAAGGTACGGCCGGCTGGAAAAGCAGAGAAACAACACCATACTCAGTATGAAAACCAGCAAAGAAACAACAGCAAACTGAAATGAAAAATGACAAAACGAAAGAGACAGAACAGGAACAAACCAAAATATTTTCAAAAACAACTGCAAACCAAACCACCCACAGAAAGAAACAACCAGACAATGAGAAACAGGACAAGGGCTCAGAAGAGCCCAAGAATACTATACAAGAACTTGAGACACACGAACTTTGGAGTGACATCTATGAACAGGAGAATCCCAACTCCCACGCAAGCATCCCTTAGGAAAAAGACAACCCACACAAATGGGCAAGAATAGATGATTCCAATGAAGAAATGGAGACAGAACACCAAAACCCAACATGGAAGATCCAAGACAAAGGAAAACAATCAATGCACCAATGAAGCAAGCCAAAACTATGCTCCCCATTTGACAGAAGCATCAGATATGGATGCCAATGAAAATCGAAGCAAAAGTACTTCCCGGAGACATCATCAGAAAGAAAATTCAATACATTACCAAAGCACTAGGCTGCCCCGAAGGCCTCATCAACATCCCAAGAGAAGGGAAAAAAGACAAAGAACTGATCACTGCCACATTCGAAGACTATTATGTGGCGGCACAAGCATGCACCATAGACCTACCCAATCTGGAAAACACACATCTGGAGTTCATTCCCATGCATGACCCCATCCAGAAAAGGGAAAACAGTATCAGAGTATGGGACATTCCCCTGAATGCAAGATTCATAGAAGTGCAACAAACTTTTGCCAAATATGGACAGATTACAAGCATCTCAATGAGTACACAACAGATGTGGCAAACCTCCACCATTACATTCGAGAATAAGAGCAGCAAGGAAAAAATCGTAAACATATGGAGCATTCCTTCAAGGCTGACATGGTTAGAGTGTTCGATGCACAATGGAGTCTAGCACAAATGAAGGAAAGAGACCAAATCGCAGCAAAACTCACAAACCTTCCACCCAATACAACAGCCTTCAATCTATGCACTATATGTCAACAAATCAAAGCCAAAAACATGCTACATCCCACACAAAGAATCATACCAAAGGAAAAGATTCGCAGTAATCAGTTTCGAGAACATAGCCGATCTAAGCAATGCTACATAACAGAACTTCACGATCGGAGAAACACAGATTACATGGACACAAATCAATACCAAACTATGTGCAATTTGCGACAGAGACACACACCTGGCGGCCATGTGCCCAACCAAGGAAAGAA